GACGGTGAGCATAAAGCAGAATGACAGGTTTGAAAACTGAATCCATCTTATCCATAGTTTCAGCTCAGAAACTGTTATTTGCATAAGGATGAAGAATAAGTCATTACAAAGCATTTCTGCTTACCTGTGGGTCAAGTAGCTATAATTACAGATAAGTAAAACCTTTGGAAATGATTTAAAATTTCATTTCAGTGTCTAAAATTGTAAAGCCTCAAACTAATAATTGTAAGCTGTATTAATGAAGTTTAAAGCTTGTGGCTGTTGTGTGCGGTTGAGTCAATTCCGACTCATCCTGACCCTCTACGACAGAGTAGAACTGCCCCACAGGGTTTCCTAGGCTGTAATCTTTACAGAAACAGATCACCTGGTCTTTTCTCCCATGGCTGATGGATTCGAACCTCCTAACTTTTGGTTAGCAGCCAAGTGTTTAACCATTGCAACACCAGGGATCATTGTTTAAAGTTTAGTACCTACAAAGTGCCTTATACAAAGCAGGTTTCCAGAAAAATCATTCTAGAATGAATGACTGGATTCATTAATACACTTTTTCCCCTATATTTATTTTGTTGTTGTTGTTGAGAATATACACAGCAAAACGTACACCAATTCAACAGTTTCCACATGTACAATTTAGTGACACTGATTACATTCTTTCAGCTGTGCAACCATTCTCCCCCTCCTTTTCTGAGTTGTTCCTCCCTCGTTAACATAAACTCCCTGCCCCTAAGGTTCCTATCTAATCTTTCAAGTTGCTGTTGTCAATTGGATCCCATGTAGATAGTTCCTAAAGAGCATAAAGCTCAAGGCAGACGTTTTTAACTAGTTAAGCTAAACTACTGTTAGGTTTTAAGATGACTGCAGGGGATATTTTTGGTTTAAGGTTTAAAGATTATCTCAGGGCAATAGTTTCAGGGGTTTATACACCCTCCATGGCTCCAGAAAGTGTAGAGTTCATGAGAGTTTAAAATTCTGTGGGCATTATCAGATTGGTAGAGCCCTGGTGGTGAAGTGGTTAAGAGCTCAGGCTACTAAGCAAAAGGTCAACAGTTCAAATCCACCAGCTGCTCCCTGGAAACCCTATGATGCAGTTCTACTCTGTCCTATAAGGTTGCTGAGTTGGAATTGACTCAATGGCACACAGCAAGAACAACATGGCTAAAAGGACGCCCCTGGGTGGAGGAAGTGGTTAAACACCTGATTACTAACCAAAAGCTTGGTAGTTTGAGCCCACTCAGAGGCACCTCGGAAGAAAAGCCTGGCAATCTGCTTCTGAAAGGTCACAGCAATGAAAACCCTCTGAAGCAGTTCTACTCTGACACACATGGGGTTGTCATGAGTTGGAATCAACTCAAAAGCAACTGGCTTGGTTTATGGGTTTAAATGCTACAGGTGGTTATTAAGGGCTGAACAGAGCACGCACATATACCCTGTAAGTTTAAAACTAAATCCCAGAAGCTTCCACATACTCAACTAGTTTTCCAAAGTCTGGTGTGCACAGTAGAAAAAGACTTGAGGAAGAGTGTGCTTTTATAACCTTTCCCTCTAGCCATCCAAAGGAGCTTCACATTGTGCCCTTTAACGCTGTACACCTTTGCTAAGTTCACAGCTGGCCCGGAGGACAAGGAGAACAAGGAGGCTTTCTTCCTTGGGTTACTGGTTGAAATTCATCATGGATTCAGCCCAGCTCTATCAGTGCTGACACAAGTTCACAAACTCAATTCACGTGAGGGAAGAGTCCAGGCCTTAGTTACATCGCTGTTCTTGGACTCTTTCAGGCACGAGCTGTCCTGCTGTTTCTCTGCAGCCCAGAGGAGTATAAGGACCAGTGACAGAACGTAGGACTCTGTCTAGAGCACAGCACTTGTTTCACAGTCAGAGAGCTGTGAACTCAATTCTCCAACGTAACAGAGACATTAGTAAAACACAGTGTGATATCGGATGGAAACATGCCCAGGATTCACCCTCTAGTTCTCCACGTATTCCTGTTCATATCAAGAATCATCACATAAAGCAGGGCCAAGGGAGTTAGGAAACTTGAGTTATTTATTTTCTTATTTTAGGTTTCTAATAACGTCTGCTGAGCGCTCACTTTGTGCCAGGCACAGTACTAAGCCCTTTACACAGATTATCTCTTTCAATTCTCACAACACCTTATGAGTTACAAGTACCAGTTGCCATAGAGTCAATTTCAACTCATGGCGACCCCATGTGTGTCAGAGTAGAACTGTGCTTCATGGGGTTTTCAATGGCTGATTTTTTGGAAGTAGATTGCCATGCCTTTCTTCCGTGGCACCTCTGGGTGGATTCAAACCTCCATTTGGTTAGCAGTCAAGCCTGTTAACCATTTCCACCACCCAGGGACTCCACTCTATGAGTTAGTATCATTTTAACTTACTTTTACAGGTAAGGAAACCATTGCGGCTTAGAAAGGTTAAGCGTTAGGTCCAAGGGCACAGAGCTAACAAGTGGCAGCTGGGGGATTTGAACCCAGATAAGCTAAACTCTGCCATGCTGCCTTTGACTGGAATTTTATGCAGGTAATAGAATTTTCAATTAATGTGATAATTGTGGAGTAAGATAAAATGTAAAATCAACACTTAGAACAGTGCCTTCCACACAGTAAGTAACCAACATTGGCATTGCTTACGCTTAAAGAGGAGAAATTTCACTAACTCGCTGCATGAACAGCAATGTTGTTTAGTTGAACTAACATTAAGGAAACAAAAATTATTTAACTATTTTTGGTGAAAGGACACAATTATATAATATATACTGATTATCTAACATCAGCTAAGTCCAGAGAGACAATCTAAAATGACCACTGCAGCTAAGGAAACATGAAATTGTTTCTGAGTATTTGGGGGAGTGTAAGTAACAAACACTATTCCATCCAAGTAATAAGGAGTCTCTGGGTGGTGCAAACAGTTAATGTGCTGGATGCTAATCAAAAGATTGGCGGTTTGAGTCTACTCAGAGGCACGCTGAAAGAAAGGCCTATCTCTACTTCCAAAAAATCAGCCATTAAAAAGAGTTCTACTCTGACACACATGGGGTCGCCCCGAGTCAGCATCCACTCGATGGCAACATAAAAAATGGTTAAATTTCTTTTAAAGTTTCAAGTAGCTATAATTATAGATAAGTAAAACCTTTGGAAATGATTTAAAATCTCATTTCAATGTCTAAAATTGTAAAGCCTCGAACTAATAATTGTAAGTTGTATTAATAAAGTTTAAAGCTTACTGTTGTTGCGTGCTGTCAAGGCAATTCCAAGTCACAGTGACCCTACAGGACAGAGTAGAACTGCCCCATAGGGCTTCCTAGGCTGCATGTAATGTTCACAGGAGTAGATCACCAGATCCCTTCGCCCATGGAATGGCTGATGGGTTCGAGCCTCCTATCTTTTGGTGAGCAGCCAAGCGTTCAACTACTGCAACACCAGGGATATTGTTTAAAGTGCTGCACCTAGCAAAGTGCCTTACGCGTAGTAGGTTTCCAATAAATCATTCAAACATGAATCACTGAATTCATTAATACACTTTTTCCCCTATATTTTATTTATTTTGTTGTTGTTGTTGAGAATATACACAGCAAAACATACACCAGCTCAACAGTTTCTACAGGTACAATTTAGTGACAATGATGACATTCTTTTAGCTGTGCAACCATTCTCATCCTCCTTTGCTGAGTTGTTCCTCCCTCATTAACATTAACTCACTGCCCCCTAAGGTCCCTGTCTTGGTCATCTAGTGCTGCTATAACAGAAATACCACAAGTAGATGGCTTTAACAAAGAGAAATTTATTCTCTCACAGTCGAGTAGGCTACAAGTCCAAATTCAGGGCATCGGCTCCAGGGAAAGGCTTTCTCCCTCTGTCAGCTCTGGAGAAAGGTCCTTGTCCTCAGTCTTCCCCTGGACTAGGAGCTTCTCTCGGCACAAACCTCAGGTCCAAAGGATGCACTCTGCTTCCCGTGCTGCTTTCTTGGTGGTATGAGGTCTGCCATATCTCTCTGCTTGCTTCTCTCTTTTATATTTCAAAGACACTATCTAATCTTGTAGATCTCATCAATATAACTGCCACTAATCCATCTCATTAACATCACAGTGATAGGATTTACAACACATAGGGAAAATCATATCAGATGACAAAATGGTAGACAATCATACAACACTAGGAATTATGACATAGCCAAGTTGGCAAATATTTTTGGGGGACACAATTCAGTCTATGACAGTTCCTATCTAATCTTTCAAGTTGCTGTTGTCAATTTGATCCTATAAAGATAGTTCTTATACGAGCATAAAGCTCAAGGCAGACCTTTTTCACTAGTTAAGCTAAACTATTGTTAGATTTTAAGATGACTGCAGGGGATATTTTTGGTTTAAGGTTTAAAGATTATCTCAGGGCAATAGTTTCAGGGGTTTATCTACCCTCCATGGCTCCAGAAAGTCTACAGTTCATGAGAGTTTTAAATTCTATTCTGAATTTTCCCCATTTTGATCAGTATTCTTCTATGGAATTTTTTATCAAAATGTTTAGTAATGGTAGCTGGGCAGCATCCAGCTCTTCTGATTTCTTGACAAAGGAAGGAGTTGTTCAGGGGCACAATAAGCCACACATTCCATATCCTCCTCCTATTTCCGACTCTTCTTCTTCCTCTTTTGCTCCAGGTAAATAGGGACCAATTGTTGTGCCTTGGATGGCTACTTGCAGACCTTTAACTCCCCAGGCAAGATGCAATGAACTAGGAAGCAGCACAGAAGCACTAAACACGTTATTAGGTTAATTAGCTGGAATGTCCCATGAAGCCATGACCCTAAATCTCAAAACCAAGGAACCAAATCCCATGAGGTGTTTGGTTGTACATACTAGCCTCAGCAGATACTCTTTTTTTTTTTTTTT